TTTTGGCCAAATCTTGATAAGGAATGATGATGATCACTGAACAAAACAGAACCATAAGGCTTGAATCCAGGATGCGGACCGAGAGAAAGATCAGGACAATATTGGATGGGCGGCATCCTGCACGAGGCGTGAGAAAATATCGTTCCTTCGTGAGAACCGTAATAGGTCAGAAGAGGCAGGCCAGAACGCTGAACAATCGTATCTACAGTCTAAACAGAGAATGACCCGGAGAGGTAAATAGTTTTTGATCGCACTTGTAGCTGTTCGACAATCAGGTTTAAAGTCCGTTAACATGTCAAAATTATTTTATTATATTGCCACTGATAAACCATAAGTTTTTACGTATGTTGCTGCTGTAATAAAAGAAGCAGATTGCATGGAGTCTTCAGTAGTCATAAATTTCACTCACCATAATGTAGGAATAAACAGAATCTGTTTTAATTTACATCTGATAGTCGCATTCAGCTACGATGATTCCTTTGTTGTATTTAAAGTCAGTTCAAGTGTTTTAGCTTGCACGACAATCTGTTGCTATCACCAGAGCACATCCTGACACAATATTACACTACAATCATAAAGCCATGAAATATGTACACATAAGTGGTCGATGGCATATAAAAATATTATGTATAAGTAATTGCTCTTGCTGTCCAGATTGTCTCAGAATCTTTGTCAGGAAAGGTACCCGTAGATTTCTGTTCCAGCTGGGAAAGTGTTGAACAGGCTGTGGGTGGTATGATGCAGGGATAAAGCGCGCTGAAATTTTGAGTGCAAAGAGGGACTGCCATCAACCAGCACGCACACTATAACCCGGACGACCGGTAGCTGTAATTGCTATTCTCGCAAAGCGGTCTAAAATTTTTTCAGCATAGATTCTGCTAATCCTAGCTGTTGGCATTTACCTGAGGTCTTCTTCGTTAAGCCAGAGAACATGATTGGGCTGACGTAGGTAAGTTGCGGTGTGATGATTAGCGGTATGGTTATCTAAAAACTTCTAGGTGCTCAGCTTCAGTAGATGGCCTTCGGTAGCATGCCTTGGATGATAAAAGACCCTGGTCGACGGATTCGACCGAAAGCAAGTTAAAGCAAAACAAAAAGAGGTTAATTAGCAGCAATGCGATGAGGTCGAAGGCTAAGCTGAAAAACGACGGACGAACTGATGAGGAACAACTGTCATAAATTGCGCGCTTCCCTCTTTTTATAATGAAAGGCTGCCACGTTTCACGATTCAGACACAATCAGACGTTCGATTGGATCCAAGCAAAAGGTGAACTGTAGGTCAATGAGTTCAAAGCTCCAGATTTGTGCCAACGTGATGTACCACGTGCCGATTCTTATTTGATCCAACGTGAGGCTACACCGAGTAGTTGAACGACGATTAACGAAAGCAGCCATGTAGAAACATTCGTGCTTACGCAGAGACTAACCTCGAATACGCAGATCCCCACCGAAGCAAACCCAGGCTTCCCTGCGAGGGAAACGTCTACTGCGATGATCGAGATCTGACCCTAGCGAGGTCACAGAATTACTCACTTTTTAATGCTTGGTTTTGGCAGTGAATTCGCTCGCAAGGCGGAAATACCGAAATACGGTTCAAGGCATGAAATTGGTCCTCGTACGATCAGCTATGAGGATAAACTGATTGAGAAAACGGTCGTCCATGGGCATTTTTTGTTGTTGAACTTTGTGATTTATCGTTTCTGTTGTTTTGACCTCAGCCAACGTTGTTTTCCTGCTCCAGCAATTAAATTTGAGAAATGAGTGCTAAAACAGAAATCGAATGCTGCAGTTAAATTCAGGATTGCAAGTATTTTTAACGGACCGATTGCTTGTAGCAGATTTATCATGTGCAAAATAACCTCCAAAAATTACCCACCCTTCTCTCTGGGGTTAAATCAGGCAAAACAACTAATGTAGAAATACAAAATATGCAACCTATGCACTACAGAACATTGAGCTCAGCAGTGGAGGTAATTTCGTTGCTTTTATTCCAGTGTCCTTGCTCATGCATTGATCAGATCGAAAAGCATTTATCTTCTGACTTAAAAACTTTTTTAGCACCATATGCTAGCACTTGGCTTCATAATATACAGCTAATACTGAACGTCAAGTTCTTTTCATATTCTTCTCCACGACCTGTGGATCTTTCGCTTGCTTCCTTATTTATTTATTTTTTGTGAGTTACCATCATTGTTTCGCTGACCGAGATGTCCATACCTCCAAGAGATATCGTTATCAAACGCTTGCAGAGCTTAAGCAGCAGGGTAACCAAGATTTATGATGTCTGACCTTCAGAAATAGCATCTCAAATTAATATATAGCAACTTTGCCTGCTGCGACAAAGTTCTTATTCCTTAATAATTTTCCGGAGAATCGTGAACGTTTCACCAAACTACGCCCAACGACTTTGACCTGTACAGCAAATGCAATTTAATACGCAGTTTCCCTTCCGAATTAACATCACTATTGTTAGCCAACGCATTTCAAAGGTATTTGAAATGGTAGAGTAGACCTCACGGCATCAGGAGGCACGAAAGTTCCTTGCGA